TGTCCTTAGCCTTTGTGTGCCAGAAGCTGACAATGAGTGTCAGGGATGGATCACTTGATGGTTACCTGTTCTGTTAATTCCCTCTGGGGCATCTGAGACTGGCCAGTGTCAGAGGACAGGATGGGCTAGATGGATCTTTGGTCTGACTCAATATGGCTGTTCGCATGTTCTTATGACAAATCAGTGCTGAAACAAAGTTGATCTAATGGGTGAAAGATTAAAAGCTCTACATTGTCAAACTGTGTGGTAGTGGAAATGGATCTAAATATTTAAATATGAATGAAGTGTGGCTCTAACTGATCTGTTTAATGTTATATGTATGCATAAAGTGACATTCCGTTAACTTAGATGTCTTGTATGTGAAACCTGCTTTTAACTTTTCCATTTATACATAAATATCATAAAACATTATAAACTTAAGAACAACAAATAGTCTGGTAGCCCTTTACAGACTAACACAACGGAGCTGGGATCATGAGCCGGGCACAGCGGGGCGCAGGTTCATCTGGAGCTGGGAAGCCTCACACCGCCATCCACACTTGGTTAGTCTCTGAGGTGCTATCAGATTAGTCCTTGTTTTTCCAGCAGGGAAGGGTGGCAGGAGAGAGGGGGAGTTAGCAAAGGGGCAGATAATGGCAAGGTGGGGAGGGCAGGGGGCTAGTGAGGGGGCCAGCAGCAGGGGAGGAGATTAGCAAGGGGGCCCAGTGATAATGGTGGGCAGGGCTATTCAGCCCCATCCTATCGCTAACTCTACTTAAAGCCAAACACCTTGCCTGCCTCCCTGCTCTCCACTCACTTCATGCCCCCTTCCTGTTGCTCACTCTCCCTATTCTCCCTCACATGCTCACTCATTTTCACCAGGCTAGGGCAGGACAGGAGGGCTGTGGCTGGGGATGCAGACTGGGATGGGGTAGGGGTGAGGGATTTGGGTTGCAGAAGGCTGCTCCGGGTAGGATGTAGGGCAGCAGGGAGATCAGGTTCCTGACAGCATTTACCGCAAGTAGCTCCCACAAGCAGAGCCATCTCCCCACTGGTGTGAAGGGCCCTGGCTGCCCTTAAATGTAGATGCCAGAGTGGGGAACATAGTGCTGCTTCTGGGAGCCACACAGAGTCAAGGCATTAGCCCCACTGCATAGACTTTTAATGGCTGGTCAGCAGCACTGAGTGGTGCCAGGATGGTTCCTTTCAGCTGGGTGTTCCAGTCAAGATCTGGACACCTGACAACCCTAGTTGACAAGGGGGGCTTGAATGGTAATGGAGGGGGAGGAGGCTCACATGGGGCTAGTAGGAGAGCAAATTAATGAGAGGCCAAACTCCCCCTGAGGCTCCTGAGTGGGAACAGTGACCCCCCCAGCTGAGGAAGCATGAGGCTGACAGTGTTCCTACAGCCTCCCTGGAGATTCAAGGTTACTGGGCACTCCCTGAGGTAGGGTGTGTGAAGCCCCCACTGACAGCAGGCACCCTTGCAGTAGCTGTGGGCCATGGGTCAGTGCAGGCCAGTGCTCCCACCTGCCTTGTCTCTGGCTTTTGCTCCCATGCAGAGTAGCTCAGCCCTGTCACCTCTGACCATCCCAAGGCTGGCACTTCAGAGAATTACAGGGAATGTGGTACCAGTCACTCCTCTGCAAACTTCCTGTATTATCAACAGCTGGTAACAGTGGTGAGGTTCAAAATACTCTAGCAGGTTGGATCCCCACCTTCGACACCCAGCCTCATTGCAGCTCATGCTTCCAGTGTAGTAACACAGGGGTGAAGGTGGTACACACAGACTCTTGGCTTTGATGCATGTTAATTTATTGTAGAAGTGTGACAGTATTTGCTAACAATTAGCACCTTGGACTGTGCTCTGCAGACTTTACACCATTAGCTAGTTAATCCTCACAGTAGCCTGGGAAGTAGGTCAGTACTGTCAGCTTGACTTTAGACAAGGAACAGACAGAGGATGAAAGTGACATGATTCAACACAGGCTACCGGGAGACCTCATCAGAGCTGGATTAGGACACAAGCTGTTGATTCTGCTTTTAGTCTGCTAATGCCTCAAGCAAATGGATTCAGAAGGAATGAGGAGCAGAATCCATCTCCGCAAGCCCCACTACACTGTAACCTATCGGCCAGGCTGAGGAGAGTTGAGGGCATTCCTTGGTGCTGAGAGTCAGTGCAGGGGCACTAGGTCAATTCTTCAGCTCACCAAGGTGGAGCCTGGCAAAGTCTGTGGCCAGTTTCAGAGCCTCCTCTAGGCAGTCAACATTCTTTCCTGTAGCTTGGGCAGATACATCTTTCCCACCGCCTTTGCCATCCATCAGACCCGTCACCTCCTGCACCCACTGGTTTGCCTTCAGGCCCTTGGTGGCTAGCTCCTGGAAAGCAAGAATTCAGATTCTTTTAAAGACAGCAGGTTTGGAGTGACTGCTGGGGAAGGCAGGATTTCCAGGCTCTGTGCTGTGGCTGACAATGCCAGGGAGGGAGGGATGGAAGGAAGGAAACGTCTTTTCCAGGCAGGTGAGTGGGTTTGAATCAGTGGCTCTCAATCTTTCAAGATCACTGCCTATTGTGACAGCAATAGCCTCAAAGGGTCTTCTGTGATCGCACCCCCTTTCAGGAGTCTGATTTGTCTTGTGTACTCCATGATTCACCTCTCAAACATTATTTGTTTTCAAAATCAGAGCTACAAAAGTCAAGGCCAAGCCCTGCACTCGCAGCAGTAACCGAACAAAACCCACCGACCCCACCAGAGGAATATGCCATTGGACATGTGGTGTAAGGCTGAAGGGGCAGTCAGAGACAGAACAGGAATCAGAAGAAACAGAGTAATGCTTCTTCAGAGCCCCTCCTCAGTGGAAGCTGCTCATTTCATGTTTCTATCCCTGTCTCCACACCCCATCCCCAGGAGCCAGGGTCAGGAGCAGGGCTACTGCTACTGGAAAGGGGCGGGGGGAGGGGAGATGCAGATAGGGAAGAGGCTGGAAGGTGGACTTCCCTGTGCATGAGGGGTGCAAGAATCCTGAAGTACGCCCCCCCACCAGTCTGACACTCCATCTGAATGGCTGCAGGGCGGCACAAGGAAGGGCACACACACAGTACTACCTGAGGTACTTGGCATAAGCAAGTGATCTTCCCAGCTTCGCTATCCACAGAGAAGAGCATGGCCGCAGTCTGAGGGGAGTAAGCCTTGAACAGCTTCAGAGATTCATTCAGGGCCTGTGGAGACATGCACACCGAGTCATGGCAAGAACCAGCTCCTGACACTGCACATTGCAGGCTCTCAGATCCCTCTGCAGCCACAGCCAGGACAGTCCCCAGTGGCCCTGAAGGTACAAGCTGCATAAATTGGTGAAATGATCTAAAATCAACAGGATGAAATTAAATAAGGAGAGAAGTGCTCCACTTAGGAAGGAACAATCATTTCACACACACAGAATGGGAAATGACTGCCCAGGAAGGAGTGCTGCAGAAAGGGATCTAGGGATCACAGTAGATCACAAGCTAAATATGAGTCAACAGTGTTGGAAAAAAGCAATATTCTGGGATGTATCACCAGGAGTTTTATAAGCAAAACACAAGACGTAATTCTGCTCTACTATGAGCTGATTAGGTCTCAACTGGAGTAGTGGGTCCAGTTCTAGGTACATTTCAGGAAACGTGGATATACTGGAGAAAGTCCAGAGCAAAAAAAATATATATGTATATTAAAAATCTAGAAACCAACTATGAGGCAAGACTGAACAAATAGGCTTGTTTAGTCTGGAGAAGAGAAGACAGAGGACCTGATAACAGTTTTCAAATAAATAAAAAATTGTTGCAAAGACTGTAGAAAAATGGTTCTCCTTAACCTGAGGTCAGGACAAGAAGCAATGGGCTTAAACTGCAGCAAGGGAGGTTTAGGTTGGACATTAGGAAAAACTTCCTACCTGTCAGGGTGGTTAAACACTGGAATAAATTGCCCAGGGAGGTTGTGGAATCTCCATCCTTGGAGATATTTAAGAGCAAGTTAGATACAAACCTGTCAGGGATGATCTAGGTAATGCTCAGTCCTGCCATGAGTGCAGGGTATTGGACTAGATAGCCTCTCAAGGCCCTGTCCAGTGAACAGAAATGGGCTGCAAGAAAGGTGAAGGTGGAGAGGCTTCACTGACTGGGAAGAAATCCCTAAGCACCAGGCACATAATCTTCCCAAAAAGAGATGGAGCGCCCTCGTTCAGAGAAAGAACTGGTGCAGTTACACAACTCCCAGGACAGGCTGTGCGGATGCACAATCCCCTGGGACACCTCCAGCAGCACCCCACAGAGAAAAGCACCTGGACTCTGGAGCTAGAACGCAGATGCAGCATTTGTGCAGACTGCAGTAATGGCCCCAAAAGAGAATTCTAGAGCAGTGGTTCTCAAACTGGGTCAGGCCCCCACTTCCATGGGGTCACCAGAACTGCTTAGACTTCCTGGGGCCAGAGACGGAAGTTCAAGGGATCCCCATCCTCAGCCAGACTGGAAGTGGAGCTGTGAGAGCTAGAAGATCAAGTTCTGGAGCTCCTCCCAGTTAAAGCAGCAGGAAGGGTGCAGAGACCCAGGCTGTGAACAGCAGCACACACCACCCCTGGTCTGCGCCCCGGATGGAGGCTGAGCTTGGAGTACGCTGTGGGAGCACGAATTCAGAGGCAAGGTTCCAAGCTCCCATGTGTATGGAGGGAGCCGAGGAGGCTGCTCTGCCTAGTAGCTGAGTTACCTTTGCTGAAGCGCCACTCTCCAATTCCAGGACCACCAGTGGCTGGTTAGGGTGGCTGTCAATGAGCTGCTTGGTCTTGTCCAGCACCTGCAAGAGCAAGTAGAGTCACACGGGAATACTGGGTGTTGCTCAGACACGGGAGGCCTACTAGTGACAGGGAGAGACTTCAAACTCCCCACCTTTCCCATCCCTCTGCCCAATCCTGCACGGACCCCAACAGTAGGCCAGCCCAGCGTGTGGCCAGCTCACTTTTCTGGCCGGGAGGGGGGGTACTGAGTTTCAACGGACACACCATTTGTGCAACACACCCCAGGGTCAGCTGAAAACATTTGTTACTGTTACAGAAGGCTGTCCAATCTCACTGGCCGGAGCAAGCTGCTGAGGCCTGGGGGAAGAAAGAACAGACTGCACAGGGGAAGAGAGACCTTGAATAGAAAGGCTGGGTACCCCCCCATTTAGGCAACACCAAAGGGAGGAGAGCAGCATCCATTTGTTTGGGTTGGGAGCAGGAAGCAGAGCGCACACAGATGGCCACAGGACCCCCCATCCCACTAGCATTATTCAGCAGGGCTCATGGACTCACTCGTTTCTGGATGTCTGCTTTGCTTGTACGGTCCAGGTCGTCCATAACCTTCTTCAGCGCTCTGAGAGCCTCTCTCAGCTCATCCTTCCGCCACTGGGGGATCACTGCGGTAGCCAGCACCTGGAAGCAGAAGGGTTCAGGCTCTTGGCCTACCACAACGGACAGCCATTTCTGTGCTCCCAACCCCAATGAACTGGCTTTCAACCCAAAAAGCTTCTCGAATGGAGCACCCCGTAAAAAGCCCCCTTCCTAATGCCACGAGACAGGGAATGAGGTAGCATTTGCTCAATCTGCAATGCACAGTCCACCTAGCATACCGTAGTGTCCGAATGCCCCCCAACACCTGTCGCTAGTGGACAGGCACAGAGATCCCGTGACTTGCCTAAGGTCACACAGGATCCCGCCTTTTCCCAGCAGCACTGGACACGTCCCCCAAACCCTGGGTCCTAACTCCTAAGTGACATGCTTCAATTTAAGGACCCAGGCCAAGGCATCACACTTCTGCTCTGCTCATCTGAAGCAGTGCTCCCGGGGGCGCTGGGGGTCCCAACCCTACCTCGCTGAGGTCTGCAATCTCCTTCTGCACGTCCTTATTGGGAACAGTCTGGACCTTCACTTTGGCCTCCAGGGCAGAGAGCGATGTCATGAGGCTGTCCGCTTTCCTTAGGGCCTGAGAGCAGAATGGAGGGTTACTGCGCGCTGGGCTGCTCAACACCCCGCAGCCAGGGACAGAAACAAGACACACACACATTCCCCCAGGGAGCAGCACAGCTCAAGAAGGCAGAGCTTGTCCAATCTTACACCCAGTACGGGCCACTTCCCTCCTGATCCTGCCAATGTCAGATGCTGTAGAGAAAGCCATGAAACGCCACAAAGACCCCTCACAGACCCTGGGGAAAACCCCTCTTCTTGACCCAGCTAGGGACCAGTTTACAACCCACAGCATGAGGACTACAACGTTGGTGATGTCTAGTTTTTGTTCACGTAATACAATACAGTGAGCATCCCAAGAGATCCCTGGGGCAGGGTTCTTTGTGCCATTTGCTCAGTAAGTACAGAAGAAAGAGGACACTTGCAGATCTATTGTGCCAAGAGCTGGGAAAGCATTGTCGCCAAGAATGGAAGTGCAGCCGCCGCCAGGCCAGCAGAAAGCAGTTCTACCCCTTTCACCGGCTTTCCTCCCATCACCCTGGCCTGGCATGACCCGAGTGCAGACCCTGGCACTGCTCAGCAGTCTCCCCTTGCTTGGCCAGTCTCACCCCGCTGGAGGGTGTGCCGTGTTACTCGGATGGCTCCCCAGCCCTCTGACTGCAGGCCTGGCCAGGGAACCTCACTCACTGGACCTGCAGCTCGGAAGCTGTAAATGCTGCTGGCACATGGGGTCAAGGGCTCGGCTGGTGTCAAGTGGAGTCAGTGGGGTAAGGAGGGTCTGGCTCAGTCTTTAATGAATATGAAAATCTCTTGTCTGTGATGGGGTTGCCTCACACTCATGCTCCAGAATTCCACAAGGACTCCCCCCTTCTCTCCCCACTTACCTTCAGTGCCTCAGCGCCAGTGACTGCAACGATCCTCCGGATGCCTTTAGCAATCGCTTCTTCAGAGACTATGGCCAAAGGGCCAGCGTGGCTGGAGTTCTGCAGGTGTCTTTGGAAACAACAGACATGAGCCCCAAGGTGAGATGGCTAAACCCCTATCACGGCTCCCCATCCTCCTCCTGGTCAGACACTCACGTTCCTCCGCAGAACTCAACAGACGTGATGGAGCCAGCTGCGCTGGAGGGGTCGGCCAACATGTCCTCCACAGGGATGCCAATGGAGACGACTCGCACAGGATCGGGGTAGGTCTCATCAAACACAGCCCGCAGGCCCTGGATGGCTTTGGCTGCTGCCAGAGGACAATCCTTGGCATATACTGTCTGGGGAGGGCAAAGCAAAGGGGATCAGCTGGGCAGTGGCCAGAGCCAGCACAGACGGAAATGCAGATACAGGTTAACAGCTGCAGCCAAAGCATCAGAACTTTTCGCCTCACTTTCAATAAGCCACAGTTCCATTTGCCTCAACTCTTTCTCCTCCAAGATCCCCCCCTCCCGTTCTGTGCTAACCGTTGCTTAGAGAGTTTGAGTCATAGCCTGGCAGATTTCAGCTCCCAAAGGATCCCACAGCAGTAATCCAGCAACACCTGTGTGCTTTTCCAAACCAGAGTACAGTTATCACTAGTACATCTACTGGCCACCCCACCAAAGAGAGGTCATGCTCACTGAGAACGGGGCAGCGAATACAGGCCAATTTCGATTCTGGGAAATGAGGCTCAAAGTTCACTTTAACTCTGTATTTTCCAGTGAAAAATAAGGCCACATCTCGGCAGGAAATCTCAGTTTATACCAAGAGGCCAACAAAGAGCAGCTCCTCATACTCCCAGCTTTTCAGTATCACTGCATCCCCCTCAGGTCTGAGCCATATTACAGGCCCACACCAGTCACCTCTGGACCTAATCCAAAAAGAGGGGCATGCAGCTAGAAGCAGAGAGTCAGTTTCCCAGCAGGAGATATTCAGGGCATGTCTGAGATGAAACCTGGGCAGAGCCATGCGGGTGAGCTGCTGCCAGGAGACCATGGGGATCCTCACTCTGCTTCCACCCAGCAATTTCACAGTTGCTAACAGACAAGAAGGAACAAACAGGGCTGTCGATGCAGCATGTGTCGGTCTGCCTGACCCCCCTGCATTCTCTTGGCCAACAATGCCCACTTGCCCCAGGGCTGGGGGACGGGGGGGGAGAGAGAGAGAGAGAGAGAGAGAGAGTGTGTAGGTGTAGGTGTAGATGTAGGTGTAGGTGTAGGTAGAGTAGGGATGTGAACAACTAGTCGAATAGCTGATAAGCAAATGCTTATTGAATAGTCGAGTTGACTAGTCACCCCCCTCCCCGCCTTGCTGCCTCTATCAGAATACATGTGGAATACTTGCTGCATGTGGCGTTTCAAAGTGGCTCCATGTGGAGCCTGGGATCAGCTGAGGATTCCCTTGCTGACCTGGGCTCCGTGCAGTGCTGCCGCTTTGAAATGCAGTGGGGGAGCATGGGTCGGTGGGAGACCGCCCTGCTGGTCCCGTGGTCCCCGCAGCACTTTCGCCTTCGATGTGTCGCAACAGCCCTCGATTAGTCAGTTACTCGAAAATTAACATCTCTAGTGTGTAGAAGCATCCCCTCAGGGGAGGGTTAACACCATGGACTGAACACAGCGGCAAGCTGAGCCTGCTGCTCCCAGCATGCCAGAGGTGGTGCCCCTGCTCAGACGCACCTTGGCTTCCTGTATCATTTGGTTGGCAATCTCTTCTGTTTTCTTGATCTCCTGGGTGGACATGGCTCCCCTGGCAGTGAAGTCAAATCTCAGCCTGTCTGGGGCAACCAGGGACCCTCTCTGGTCTGCGTCCCCCAGCACCAAGCGCAGGGCAAAGTTGAGGATGTGGGTGGCAGTGTGGTTGCTCATGATGGGTCTCCGCCTGGGCTGCAAGGAGCAGAGGGAAAGCAACTGTTGAAGGCCTTGGTGTGGGAGGAGCTGCCATGCGCCTCCTGCTCACACACCCCTGGCCTAACCAGTGAGTCCTGACTGTAGTGGGACAGAGTAGAGCAGGTTACAGTTACAGACTAGTTCTGCTTCAGGAGAAATCTGGGATAGTGCAGGAGGGAGAGAACGAAAGCAGCTTCAGTATGAGACTTCTTTGGGGCCAACAACAGCAAAAGTCTCAATCTAGTTCCCAGCCCCCCTCACATCTCCAGCTGATTGGCTGTGCTTGGCGAGAGGCCAGAGCGCCCCGGACCCGAAACTTCCCTTTGGAGGGGACAAGGCACAGTGGCAGGTGCCCAAGGAGTAGCAGGCTGCCTGCCTACAGCAGAGCAGTAGAAGATTTTACAGTCTACAGTTCAGCCAAGCTTCTTCTGCTAACACTGATGTCACCTGAGAGAAAAATTGAAACCTCGTAGCCAGCAGGGCAACTGGCCAGGATTTCACTTGTGCCCCAGTCTAACCTACAGCACGTTAACCCTTTAGGACAGTGCACCAATTCCATCTTCCAGCTCCCAGGGGACTCTTGGCTCAACCCCAGCTCGGCTAAAGGACATCTGCAAGCCAATGACTGCATTCAAGGCTCTCTGGGAGGCAGGGGTCGCCAGCCCCACAGCATGGAACCACTGCACTCTGGGAAAGAAAGGCCCAGATCTTCTGCTGGGACGCCGTGGTGGGAGCAGGCACTGGCTGCCTACTAGTGGAGGAAAAGGAGCTGTCACTCTCTCACCGGAAAGAGTCACCAGCACAGCACGACTAACTCACCTCGTCAATATACAGACGGACTTGGTCTCCCACTTTCAGGCTCCCGTAGACGGTTCCCATGTGGAGCACGTAGCCCCCCCGGATCTGCACATTCTTCACTGTGAACTCTGTTTTCTGTAGCAGATGGGGGAGAGCACAGAGGGAGCTGCGGTTATTATTCCACCCAGCCCCCTGGACGGCAACGAAGGCCCCGGAAGAGTAAACTTCAGGAACACAGGCCTCTCAGGCAGCATGAGTGGGTCGGCCACCTCTCTTTGGTGACTGACAGCTGCAGTGGGAGCAGGGGACAAACTATGAGCTAGAAAATTAAATGAAGACAGAGGAAGAGAGGTGCTCTGGAGAATACAACGCAGTGCTCAGTCAAGCCCTGATTCACATCGCCAAACAGTCAGCTAGTGACACTCACAGAGAGAGCCAAAAAGGGGCCTGCCGAATTCCTGACCCCTCAGGGTCATGGTACTTGTTTGGTCTCCATCACGTATGAGCCCTCAACCATCTGTAGCACTTATCTGCACACCCCAGGAGGCAGGTCAGGGCTATGCTCCCCTTTGTCGTCATCAACAGGATGGCATTCAATAGCGCAAAGTACTTTGCTTTGGCCAGGGGGGAAAAAAAAAAAAATCAAACATCCAGCTACAAAGCGGGGCCCCTGCCCAGTTAAGTTGTCTTGCGGGAAAGCGTTAGGGAGGGTTAGTGGATCACAAATGGAATCTGAATCGGGAACATGATGCACTTGCAGAAGTGTTGCATGTAAAATGTGGGAGGGAGCTTTCCTGTACTCAGCTCTGCCAAGGTCCCAGCTGGGAACACTGTCCTATTCTGGGCACCATGCTTTAAGGAAGATGCGGGCAAATTGGAAAGAGTCCAGAGGAGAGCAACAACAGCGACCAATTGTTCAGAAAGCCTGGCCTATGAGGAAAGCCGGGTCAGGTATGTCAAGGGCCGGTACAAAGGGAATGAAGATCAGCTGTGCTCCATCTTCCCTGGAGGTAAGTAAAGGGCTTAATCTGCAGCCAGGGAGATGTAGGTTCAACATCAGGAAAAGCTTTCTAAGGGTAACAAAACTCTGGGACAGTGTCCAAGGTTGGTTGTGGAATCCCCATCACTGAAGGATTTGAAGAATGGGTTGGACTGACACCTGTCTGGGCTGGTCCATGTTTAATGGCCCTGCCTCAGTCTGGGGGTTTGGCTCAGACGGCCTCCAGCCTGACATTTCTAGGCACCTACGACTATAGAGGTGGGGAACAGAGAGCCTAAACGACTTGTCCGTGGTCAAGGAATTGAACCTTGGTTTCCCACAGCCCAAGTCCAAGCACTATTCATTGCTCCACCCTTCCTTCCCCAGCCTTCACTGCCTCTTCACCCCTCCTCCCCCAAGAACGGCACTCAGGAGTGGTTCTGTTTGTATGTTAGCACACAAGTGCCTGGTCACTTACATCCTCGCTGCTGTCGTCATCCTTGACCAGGTAGCCCTCATCGTAGATCTGCCCGCCCTGCTCGGCGTAGAAGCAGCTCTTGTCCAGCACTATGCCGCACTCCTGGCCTGTGGACACTTCCTCCACAAACCTCTTCTCCCAGCGGATTGCTTGCACCGTGGCCACTGGGCTCTCAAACACTGTTGCGGGGGGAGAGGCAGGTCAGTCCCAGCCTCTACACACAGTCAGACACACGTGTCCAGCAGCCACCTCTGGAGTGGATGCTCCAGTTTCAGACAAGAAGTGAGGAAAGAAAACTGCCAGTGGAAACTCCAGGGGGACACTTAACTGGAAAGGAAAGGCCACTGAGCTCATCAGCTCAGAGGGGCAGGGATGCCTCTCTGTGTTGGTACAGCACAGAGCACAAGGCTTGGATCCGTGAGCAGCGCACCGGCCAAGGTACCAGGGAAAGCCCAGATATGCGGCAGGAGTGAAAAAGAACCACTCCAGTCCCTCTGGTCAGGCAGGGAGCAAATGAACTGGACAATCACTCTGGCTCCAAATGATTAGTAACTTCTCCTGCCAGGCGGTGGATTTGCTCCTCTGATTTGCACTGCCCTCCACTGGCAGCAGCCAGCCCATGCGTGGTTCTCCCCTCTCCTTCCCCCTAAAGGCCATCAGCTGATCACCAGGCTGGGGGAAGGGGCAAGATGCAGGAAGACATAAAGGTGCCCTCGCTCAGCTGTATTGCAAGTCATGGCAGAGTCTGCAGACTAGCTTCCAGGCCTGACTCAACACAAGACCTGCAACGCAAGGCGGGGGGAGGGGAATCACGCAGAGAGCAGCTCCACATACCGTAGGTACCACTAGGATCCGACGTGTAGTTGTATTTGGGCGAGTCGTCTGTCACCTCCAGTCCCCGGGTGCGGAGCTCATCAATAGCATAGATGTCTAGCATGAGGCGATCTTCCTCACCGGCTCCCTTGCCCTGAGACTTCAGCTGAGAATGGCAACAGGTGGAAGCGTTAGGAACAGGGAAATGACCCCTCAGTACTGCCAAGGGGATCCCACTCTTGTGGATCGGCTGGTTGGGCTTTAGCAGCACATTTGGGGCTGGAGGCGACTGCAGCAGAATGGACACCAACATCCCGGACCAAGTTGAGTCTATGTTGTAGACCCACATCAATCACACCGATATTCACAACAAATCTGCCAACAAACCAAGGTGAGGGATGGCTCTGGTGGGTGGCAGGGATCCACCGTATGCCCCCCTGGAGCACTCTTTAAGGGCCTTAGGCGAGAGATACTCTGAAGCAGGGTGACTGGCAGCATTTGGGCAGCAATCCCATCCTATCCACCCACTCTCTACTTAGCTTCTGCTAAAGGAAAGGGCTAGCGAGGGCTCTGCTCCTACCACAGCTGTTCTACAGCAATCTGGCTGCCCTGCAGAGCAGGCAAGCTGTGAGCTCTAACCCTGCATGGGATGTGTGCGGCCCAGCTGTGCACGACTGGAGCGCTCCAAACCTGCTCAGTGGGTGGCATGAGGAACGTAGCTGGATTTTAGGGGGTATGTCTAAACAAGTGATTGGCGGTCCTCTTTGCCCCGGGCAGTGCCCATGCTGATAGCAATGACAGTGGAAGGCCACGGTTCAACAGCAGCTAGCTCAGCTGCATTCCAAGCATGCCTAGATCACACCACTCTGCCTGAAGCCGGACTACACCAGTGCTCCCACAAACTAAAACCATGGCCTCCTGGGTCATTCCTCAGGAGGCAGGAGTTCTGTTGGACTGGACACTGTCGAACTGAAGAGCTGTGTTTCTCCTTTCCCCCTTCATGCAGAGACAGGCTCTGGCATGACGACCCAGGTGGCTTCCCAGTCCCACAAACGCAGCATTACATGATACGAGTCCCAGAAACCACTTAGAGCAGCAGTTCTCACCCAGGGGGCCAGGAGCTAGTTTCAATGGGTCCCTGAACCAGGGCCCCCTGCAAGGCAAAAGCCCTGAGTGCAAGCACCCTGAGGCCCCACCCTTTCTGGCTAGGGTCTGGAATTTTTCTAGCATGTTGGAGTGCCTCAAAGTAGAGACCCTCTACCCAGAGATTGCTGTTGGCTACACTCTCACTGAAGAAGCCTTAGCCCAACCTAACGAAATACAGTCAGAGAGTCTGGGGCAGGTGCTCATCCAATGGCTGCACACTAGAGGGCAAAGTTTCTGAAGAACCTGTGAAGTGGCAAAGACAGAAGCCAGGGGAGACACTCGCCAGGGCAGATGCAAAGGCAGGTGTCCCACAGAAGCAGGAATCTCTGCATGGGATGTGCGGAGTCTCTGTGGACAACATGGGAGACTGATTGCTGTGTTCTTGGGAAAGAAGGAAGGAAAGCAACATCTGCACAGACCCCAGTGAGAGACAGCAGGGCTGGTTCTCATGCAACCTGCTTGCTTTGGGGAACCCAGCCTTCCCAAGAGGGTACTGGGGTAAAAGCTCCATGTGAGCTGGCAAGAAGCTATGCACCCTACTAGGAGAAGACGTGCCCAGTGCTCCACCATGCAAACAAGGCTGGACTCTCAGGGCCTGCCCTCCACCCAGACTTACTGTGCTTTGCCCCAGCCTGCCCTGGCAACATGGCCCAGGGTGCTCAATGTCAGATCTCCTCAGAGACACTTTTGTAAAGGAGCCAATAACAAAGGAGTCCTCCCACAACAGTGCCCTCTGCCCACTCCTGGTAGTAGGGTCAATGCAAAAGGGCTTTTCCTGAG